TTTTAAGTTTAATTAACGATCGAAAGAGCAATGTTGATTATTTATATTTATTTAAACAATGAACGAAGAAAGCAAAGAATATACTGATTTAACGAACAGTTATTTATATATATATGGCAATAAAAGCGAGCATAAAAAGAAACAGAACCTCTTGCAAATTTTTTTCATAATTTCTTGATCCGATTAGATTCGGAAGACGATTCTTGATATAAGCATTTGTTTTATTTGTTTATCTTCTTTAAATTAAAATCAGATAAAATATTTTCATAATTAACTTGTTCAACTGATGTTTGTTGATTAATTGAAGATGATGTTGGTGGACGAGGTGCTTTATTTTTTCGATGTGTTCCAGGAGATCTAGATGTATTTTATTTTATTTTATTTGAATAGAATAAATAACATACGGTTGAGGATATCCTGGTGTACTTTGAATATCTAATAAATTTTCATTTGAAACACTTTGACTTTTCTATAAAAAAAAAATACGGAATGAAATTCAGTTGGAATAAGATCAGGTTGACATTTAAATGATTTCGACGTTTGTTCTTGTTGAGAAGAATTTGTAAATAATTGTTTATGATGAATAATCATAAGTTCAAGAATAGTTGAAGCAGCTGCATAAGAATTTGAAATCGATTGTTGGGATGATGATTGATCTTTACCATATAATATACTACATCCAATACAAATACCTAAAAATTTATATCATGTAAATTATTTATTAATCGAGCTATTCGTTGTAGACGAGCTTGTTCACCACTAACATTTAAATAGTTGTATTATTTTTTTTATATATTTATTTAAGAGAATAAATTAACATAATCTCAATAAAATTTATACAAACATATTTACTTTGCGAATGAGATATAGTAAACCAGAATTTAATAAAACTTTAAAGGAACTCAAGTCAATTTATTGATAGGCGACTATTCGATACCGATAGCTAAGCATGGTATATGTTACTGAACATTGTGCTTATTGATATTAGTCGAAAGTATTTGTAAAATATTTTTTCTCACATATGATTTTGTAGAGTTTATGACGAGTTAAAATCTTATATACGTAGTATTGTTTTACGAAAACATAATTTACTATATTTCATTCAATGTGCCTGAATAGATTACCTTGTCTGATGATAAGGATTAGAACCTTTGGTCATCTCTAAGTAAATATATATATAGAAAATGAAAATATATTCTTATCTACCTAATCTTCAATTTTCTAATCAGCCAATAATCCTATTGTTTAGGATTTATATAAGAAAAAAAACAACGAATGAATAAAATTATTTTCAAAATACTTAACTATGATTGTATTATCAAAGAAATTGGATAAGTAGAGATTTTTAAAACAAAATAAATTAAAAAAAAGTTTTTTCTCTGCTGAAAAAACTTAATATATATAAATCCTCGATCGAATCTATCATTCGTATTGAATTTCTCTACTAATGTCCGTTTCAAAATAGATTGCGTCCCACTGTTTTTTGAATAACTCAAGAACGCAATCAGCTAGAGACCTGCGATTTTCACCAATCGAAAGAAGAGACAGGGGGGCGTCTTTTTTTCCAATATCGTATCAGACGGAATCATTTTGAAACCAGTCATTTCTGCATAACATCGAAAAAATGGTCTGTCATTCAGATGAAATTTTGACAAAAAGTAAAGAAATTCATAGTTTTCTTGGGAGTAAATAGACGATTTTATTTGCTAAACGTTAGGATGCGGTAAGATAATCATTCGAATTATATCCTGAAGTATAGATCCGAAGTCCCTCTATCTAGATCACATGTCAAAAGCAAAAATTTCTTCAGAATGCCACTTCGTTTTCATGCATTTTTCCAATGTTTTGCAGAAATGACTGATTCTAAAATGATTTTGTCGGATACAATATTGAAGAAAAAGACGTCCCTCTGTCTCTTCTTTCGATTGGTGAAAACCGCAGATCTCTAGCTGATTGCGTTCTTGAGTTATTCAAAAAACAGTGGGACGCATTATATTTTGAAACGGACATTAGATTCGAATATTTATTGAAAATATTTCTTAAAGATTGTCAAATATTTAAATATTAAAAAAAAATCTATATATATAGCTGTCAGCTTTCAAACTGAGATTACGTCCAATCTCAGATTGGCCTAGGCAAATGTCGGATTGACGTAATTCTATTCACTAAAATATCAATAACTATTTATCGTGAAAATTTTTTATTAAATTTTTTAGTCTAATTTTAACTTTTTCCTGAATGCTTGTAAAACTTGAAACGGCATTGTGCGAACATAATTTCAAAACATAGTTCGAATCCAACGTCTATCAAAAAAGTTATTGATATTTTAGTGAACAGAATTGCGTCAATCCAACATTGGACACGTCCAATCTCGGATCTGAGATTGGACATAATCTCAGTTTGGACGCTGACAGCTATATATATCTCAACAAGATTGATAGATTTAAATCAGAGATGGACAAGCTCCGATCGCTTCAGAGCACTTTTCGGTCGGAGCACTAATGTATGTAACTGGAGCGGTGACAAGCAAAAGTTGCGGTCTACTGAGATCACTCGGAGAGGTAACAAACACAGGCTGGAGTTCGACTTTGCTCCGATGGTTTTGACCGGAGCGAAAAAATTTTAGTGCAGAAAATCTATCGCTCCGACCAGAACCCTCGGAGCAAAGTCGAATTCCAACCTGTGTTTGTCACCGCTTCAGTTACATACATTAGCGCTCCGACCGAAAAGTACTCTGGAGCGGGTGGAGCGATCGGAGCTTGCCCATCTCTGGTTTAAATTAATTTCAATATAATCTTAACTATTTCAATTTTCAAATGTTTCTTTATTTATTTTTAAATATAATATATGAATTAA